GATGGAGCACGATTTTGGGCTGTAAGCGGATGTAACTTTTTTTTAGTACTAACCGGATGTAACTCGTTCCTGGACCATTGTGTATAGAGGCAAAGGCGTTGGCCGCGCATCGTCTCAGGGGTCTGGTGAGGGCAAGTCCATATTTCGCTTGCAGTTAGCGCCATTATCGCCTGCATGATTGTCACTTGCCTTGTCTATTGGGTCGGTCTGTGAGTCACACGAACATACAAACGCGCTTGTTGCTTGCATGTTGATTTGCTTTGTTGAGCTGCAATCTTGTTTTTTCTTTGTCACATTTTGTCCCATTTGTTAGTTTTTCACATTGCAGCTTCTGTGTAATTCAGAACTGTTTGTGATTTGTTTACTAAATAATCAAATAAATGTTCGTTGTTTGTAAATTGTTCATGGCATTTAAAGAAAATCACCATACATTTAAAAATGTTAATTATTTCTAAAAAAATGTTCACGCTTTATGAAATAGTTCATAAAATATTTAATTTTTTATGAAATGTAACATTGGTTCAAGCAAGCATTTAGAAATGACATATAAAAATGTTCACCATGTATAATTACTTTTTCATAGTGTAGAGTATTTATAAACTGTTCACCGTGCATTTAAAAAAATGTTCAACACACGTTTGAAAAATATTCAATGTGTATCTACAAAATGTTTAACGTGATTGAGAAAATATTCAATATATGTTTGAAAAATATTCAACGCTAGGGATTTATAGCGTTTGAAGAACGGTGAGAGGGATAACTTGTAAGAGAGACCTCCTCCCCAACGCCTTATATCGATACAGATGCCCCATGACAAAAAGTAGTTTGAGGCATCACATTGATTTTTTTTTTCTCTCCAATACAAGCTTCCACTAGTGGGCCTCATCAAAAAATAAAAAATAAAGATTCCCACTAAACATGCATCTCTAGTTTCCACTTCAACCTTTTAAGCTTTATGCACCGGGCCACACTTTTTTTCTTCAAGCACCCGCCTCCTGCAGAGGATCCCGCTGCTCCATCTGAACCTACTTTTTCTGATATCTGATCCTACGTGGCCTACGGGGCATCATCTTGGGACTATGCATTGTACAAGTCCTCATAGGCCGGCCCACGCAAAGGAGGTGAGCACTTGTCCAGGAAATACCTTTTCCCGATTCGCCACCTTTGACCCATTGGTCGTTGACATATCGGGAAGAATGTGATGTTTAAAAAAATCAGAATTTTTTAGAATATCTCGAATTAAAACTAATCACGGTTTCAAAAAATGTTCACGAACTCGAAAATGTTCGTGAAGCGGATTTGAAAAACGTCCACGAACTCAAAAAAGTTCAATGGATCAGAAAAAGTTGGCGGATTTGAAAAAAGTCCATGAACTCGAAAAAGTTGACGAATTCGAGACAAATTCACGGAGTTCAAAAAAAGTGAATCGATTTTGAAAAGAAAGTTAGCGAATTTGAAGAAAGTTTGTCGATTTTGGCCGGGTGCGCGGCACGTATGAGAAGCGCTATAACTGGTGCTACGAGCGCCGAATAGGAGTTGGGCTTGTATCAAGTGGTACCCCGCGTGCCTTTAGAAACAGTATTGGACCAGAGTGGCTCGTGACGGCTACAGTATTGGACGTCCGGTTTGACTCGCACCTGACAGCAACGTAGCGAAACGACGTGTTTTGGGGTGTCCAGTTCAACTGTTTGGAGTGGAAAATTGCCTTTGCCATGACGTCATCGACGTCAAACCCGGGAGTGCAATTCACGGTATTCATCACTATTAAGAATCCGTCTTGTGCCTGCTTTGTCTTTCTTTTGTCCAGGACTTGTCCCTGCTTTGTCAACGATGATCCTCTTGCCAAATGGTTCCTCAAGCTTGAGCCTCGACTGTTCGTCGTCGTCTTCTTCTTCTTTTGCCAAAAGTCAACGGGCCTTGTTCCTCCAAGAGTTTCAGAGACAAAGAGCCCAAATTATTTAAACAGGGGCCCGATTTGCGCACCATGTATTACTCACCTCGTCGGGATTTTTTTGACGTGTTTGTCTTTGTCAACACGGTGCAGTGAACATCAAGCTAGGCTCCAGTTGCCACTTGCCAGTACAGTGACACGCACGGGAGTTTCACAACAAAAAAAATATTCACGAGAACAAGGACACGTCTTTACATGAGCAAGCACAATTCGCCTACCATCAGCAGACAGGGCGAAGATTAAATCAAGGACGAGTCAGCAATCGGAAAAGACGACGACCGGCCCATCACGAGCAGGGCAGCAGGGAGGAGGAAAAAGAAGAGAGAGAGTGCACCGGCCCATCGCATGCGTATCCTCCTCCCGGGTCGAGCCATGTGGCGGCGTCCACGGCGACAGCAACCCACCCGTGCCACAACACCACGGCCCAACCACGCCGCGATCCATCGATTCCCACCCACTAAAATTCGCACCCGGCGTTCCAGCCCCTGCTTTACGCCCTGCGTATTTTGTCTGGGGGAATCATCGTCACCAAGCGATAAAAATGTGTTGTTTGCTAATCAATGGAGTGGTGCGTGTGGACGATGGACCTGGCCAAACAAACGCGAAAGCGAAGACGGAGTAGCACCTGTTCCGATTTAAATATCTCACTTAAATATGCTAATATGGGCCCAAATGCCCGGCAATCAGGCCGCTGCTACTCATTTTGATTCCTTCAATGATTGAAGATTGATCAATCATGGCCGCAGGAGCACACTTATTTCGGTATGAATAATGTGATGTCAAGTGCCAAATAATTCTGCGCAAAGAATTGGCTACTAGATTAAATAATGTGGAGCATAGACGTACACATACACGTACACATACACATACACATCCAATCCATTTCATTCCTTGCTCCTCCGCCTCAACCACCCGTTGATATTACATCATCACACACGCTATTCTTTCCTTTCCTTTCCATCCACATCCTTACGTCCCATTTTTTTTCCCAATAAATAAAGATTTTTTTTAATTAAAAAGGGAAACACTCCGGAGACGAGAACAACAGCATAATACTAGCGCACGGCGGCCCACGGCTTGGGTTTCGTTGAGATGAGATGATTCTTTTCCTTTGCCTCGGCTGGAATTCTGGATCCTTTTCCCTTGGTTTCAGAACCTGACGATCTTGGCGGCGCGCACCACGGGGTTGTCCCGGGCGATGGCGTCCCGGGCGGCGGCCTTGTAGTCGTAGCTGCACCCGTGCCGGTCCGAGTACCGGTGCTCGCCGCAGAACATGTCGCCGCACCGGCACCGGAACCCCGTCAGCCCCACGCGCTTCCGGCAGCTGGAGCACCGGTTCACCGACGTCCTCGCCGGAGCAAGGTCAACGGCGAGCTCGACCTCCACCGGCGCCGGCCTCGGCCTGTCGACGACGGGGGTCGACACGGACACGCCCGGTAGAGAAGAGGAGGAGGAGGAAGACGGCGACGTGGAGGCCGGTCCGGCCAAGAAGCAGTTCTGGCAGAGGTTGTGCGTGGCCGGGTTGCCGGGGAAGCCGCAGCTGTTGGCGCAGAGCGTGATCTCCGGCGCCCGCAGCTCCGTGGGCTCCTCCTGCTTGTGATCGCGTTGCGCCATGGTATGTCGAACACGCACGCGGTGGCTGGTTGGTTTGCTGCCGGCCGGGAGGTCCGGGCGTCGTCGGCGGCGGCCGGGAGGCCGATGCGAGGAGAGGAGAGGCGAGGCCGAGGAGAGGGGAATTGGATGGGCGTGGGTGTGGAATGGAGGGGAGATCGGGGCCCTTTTTATCGGGGGCTCGGGCGGGAGAGGGACGGGGACGCGCTCCCTGCAGGAGGCGATAACGACCTGCCCAGCTGCCGTCTCCCCCTCCGCGTGTTTGCCTTGGGATTTCCGGTTTTGGCCCTGCGTCACCCGGGGGCTCGCGTAAATGGCCGACGCTGCCCTCCGTTTCCGTCGAAAAAGCGACGGCTGTGCCACGGGCCGGTAAAGGCACGCCCGTTTGGGCGCTCCCTCCACGGGAGGAAAGAAACGTGGGAGACGCGGGGCGGTGGGAAGACAAGGGAAGAAGGGTCAACTGGGCTGGATCCAGAGGGTCGTGACCTTGCGTGGGTGCGGGGCGGAGGAGGGGTAGGATGGTCAGCTCGGGGGTTGGGGGCTGGCGCTTCGGGTGCGCGGACGGGCCGTGTGTTCGGTGTCGCGTGCTGGTTGGACCCGCACGGCCGCGCCGTGTGGGGGAGCAAGTAGCCGCCGCCCGAAGCTGACTACTACCTCCGTTTCGGTGAATAAGTCATTCACGTAATTTTAGATTAACGATTTAACCATCTAAATATGTATTATATGTAACAAAAAATATATATTTAGAAACTACATCTTTGTTGAAATCTAGTGATATACTTTTCATGACATATAACACATATTTAATTTCTCAAATCGATGACCTAGAACTACGGGAATGACTTATTCACATAGACGGAGATAGTAGTATGGCGGCCGAAAGCGAGCGAGGAGATGGCTGGGAATACGGGACGAAACCACCGGGCCAAACCAAACCATCGGGCGCGTCGGCTTGTCGGGGCACGGGAGTTGGGACTTGGAAGGCGTCGTCGCGGCTTCGTCCATACGTACCACCATACCATACCATAGCCCGCACGTTGCGGCCGGGGTCGGGATAAAATTAAGGGAAGCTGGCTCGGCGCCCCGTCCCTGTCCGCCTCTGAGCTGTCCGGATTAGCACGGCCGCTCCTCCCCTCAGCTCTCGCCCATTCGTTTATCCTCCTGCTAATAGAAAATATCTATGGCTAGGCGATAATACAAAATTACGAACCAATTTGAGTGTCGACACGGCAAACTCGTGCATAGTCCCAACCGCACGCCCGGGCCATTTTCCCCACGCATCCCAGCTACTAGCTGGCAGTACTAATCTTTTCGTAAACAGAAAACACGGCCCCATTAGCTTAGTCTTCTGGTGGTCGGTAGGGCGCGGCGGCCAATCAGGAGCAGACACGCCAACAGCAGCGAACTGGATAAGCAAGAAGTAGATTCTCCCGGCCGGCCCGCAGACGGCAGCCGGGCGAACGCAAGGTCGTATCATCTCATTTCCGCGGCAGGCCGGGCCGGCTAATCCCACGGCTGATGCCTGCCTAGCTAATCTAATTCCAGAGGTTGGGAGGCGGCCGTGCCCGTGACGGCGACGATTGAATGTGCGCGCTGCCGACAGCGTTCTTGACCGGTCCGCACCGCCTCCCGACCGGTCGCCACCCAACTAAAACCGATGTCTCAATTTCTTCCTTGATTGGTTCGTTGCATCATTGGATTTGCGAGTGTGGTTCTGGCTTAGTTTAACTCGAACCGGTGTTTCTCTCGGGTACGTGGTCGATTGGCTCGTTGCGTCACTTGCTTTGCCGTGATTCTAGCTTAGTTTAGTTTAATGATGATGAGGTGCCGGGTGCCACGTATACAACATATCGTTTGAGAGGCTGGCGCATGTGTACAAGGAAGCCGAGACGTGTGCGGCTCGAACGGCCGACACGTCAAGGAGGTGGATTCTCCCGCAGGCCGTTTTCCGTCGACGAATAATATCCTAGCTTAGCTTGGAGTGCATGAGGACCGGAGAACGTCCGGCCGGTCCCCTGATGTGTGTATCTGGATTGTTAGTCGTGCGACACGTCACCAACACCGGGGCGTGCATGCCACTAGCGATATCTTGATGCGAGGGATCATGTGGCTGGCTGGCTGGCTGGGACCGAACATACATATGTATGTGTCCCCAAAGGCAGAAATATCTTGTAAAGTAAGTGTAGAATCGTCTTACGGCTCGCCTACATTCATCATTCGGTGGTAGTAATCCAACAGCGCACTGGCCGCAGCTGCTGCTCTCTTTCGGACAGGATGCCCTCTCGCTCAGGTCTTTCGGACAGGTTTACTGGAGTAGACGCGTGACGCGGCGATCCTGAATCTTCTCCCAGCGCGTGTGTGGTGTGGTGCCATCTGGTCGTCGCCGCGGCTGTTCACAGTCGCAGCCGGCCACTTACCACGGGCGCCGGGGCAACACGCGGCGCACTAGAAGAAACCTTTAGTTTCTCCTCCCAGTCATCGCAAACTCACGGCCACTGCTCCCTTGTGAGCACTGAAGTTTTATCCTCTCGGAAAGAACACCTGTGACGACGATTTGACCCCTGCTGCTGCTTGGCGCAGCTCTTGCCACCGAATCCGAACTCAACATCACGGTGGAAGCTGCCAAGAACATGACAGGTCCAGCAATTTCATCAATGGACGTTGCGAATTTGCAGAATTTCACTTCTTATTGCCTGGCAGCCAGTATTTACACATCAGTAACAGAGAGCGAGCATGCTCTGTTACCACTACCGTTCTTCTCCGTCGGCCGGGGAGGGCCCTGGCACGTGCTCCGCGAGCGCGAGGCCGTCGCAGATCCTCTCGACGGCCTCCTTCCCCCTGGCGGCGTTCTGCGCGAAGCTCTCCGCGCACCGCCGCTCCACCATCCCGGCCACCGTGGCCGACACGGCCGCCAGCGGCGCGCACCGGATGCTCGTCTCCTGCGTGAACACCGTCCACTCGTCCGGCCGCTCCGGGTGGGGCGCGTAGCTGCACCGCTCCTCCACGTCCACCAGCCGCCGGAAGGTGGCGTTGCGGGAGACCACCCGCATGGCGCGCGCGGCCGCGTCCACGGACGTGCGCTCCACGCAGAGCGCCACGTCGCCGGCGCCGGCGGTGGCCGCGAGGCCGCGGAGGAGGAGCGGGAGCGGCGGGGGCCGGCCCGCGATGGCGCAATACGGCGTGGAGGCGGCCGGCGCGCGGGTCGACGTCCCGGGACAGCGTCTGCACGTCCAGGATGTGGGGGAGCGCCGCCGGGTCGGTGAACTTGCGCCACGCCGCCGCGGTGACCCGGTGCCAGGGGTGGAGGTACACGTGCTCCTGCGTGTACGAGACCACCATTGTCGTTGACGTTGCCGTTGCCGTGCCGCGACGAGATCCAAGGAGAAGGCTGGCCGGCGAGGTAGAAGGGGAGAGCGATGGAGATGGACCGATGGGGAGGGAAGGGATCTAGGACAGCTACAGCAAGGGGAAAGAGCGTAGGCATCCGAACCATGAGAGGAATATTCGGATTCATCTGCGGGAGGAGTGAATAGGAGTTGCTAAGGCGTGGCTTAAGATGTACTCCCTCCGTTCCTAAATATAAGTCTTTGGAGAGATATCACTATGAACCACATATATCTAGATGCATTTTAGAGTGTAGATTTACTCTTTTTGCTTCGTATGTAGTTTGTAGTGAAATCTTTACAAAACTTATATTTAGGAATCGGAGGGAGTGCTATTTTACAAATTATTTATGAATAATTAATAAAATAACCGCATGCATCGTCCAGATGCAAATACCATGGTAATCTTTTTCTTAAAAAAAATTCTGTGCGTGTTGAGGAACTTGCTCCTCGTGTGGAGATAATCCCCATCATCAAGGACCAAGTAGAGTATTTCTATACTAACTTGAGTATGGAGAAGTCTGAGAAGGATCTTGTCGATTCCAAGTGGGCATCCAGGACATAGCACCGTGACAAGGCCAAGAAAAACTTGCATCGGATGGAGTCATCTCTCTGGAACGTGCATTGTGAGCTCGCCACTGAGGTGGCGTCATGCTCTGAGACACACAAGGCCTTGGCATCTTGCTTAAGGTTTCTCCAAGGCGAGTCACATTGACCGGGGAGTTAGAGCCTATGAAGAGGAGTGCTCTTCTTTCTAGTGCAGAAGCCCTAATTTAGGTGACGAAGGTTGTTGTTGCCAAGGGCGAGGTGTCCACATTGACGTTCAATGTGACTTGGGATGATGGAGAGATGTTTATGCTGGGTGAGAGTGGCTAAGTTAGAGGCTCGCTTATCTACTTCTATGTGGGCTTCAACACCCTGCACAGAGTTTCGGGCCACAAGATATTTCCACCTAACCAACACTTCTCGTTTCCAAGATGTCTTAGTTAAACTAAAGTATTGAGACACGACAACACTTACTCCGTGCAAGATGGTGATGGAGGTAAGCGAGATTCTTTCTTCAAAGGTGTGCCAGGTAGGTCATGCCATGACGATGTATGGTCATACCGTGGATAGGTATGTTGTAGCTCACGTATTGCACCCACATGCTTGTTGGATATGCCAGTTTGGCGGCATGGGAGAAGCCCCCCTGCCTCGACTTCGCATGCATACATTCGCGGGCAACACAAGTTTCTGTTGTCGATGACCTTTACAATCTTGCTACATCTAGATAGATCCACTCGTGACCGAGCCGAATCATTGGAGCACCCTCGAATGGAGTGTTTGTTGCCTATATCACTCCTTGCATGGCTTTGACATGAAAACTTTACTTAAATGCCTTTTTTGCCAACATGCCACACTACTTGATGCAGCTTTATGACATTCTTATAACATAGGAGTAGGTGGTTCATTTAGCTTGGGGAGTGACTCACCATGTTGTAGTGTCACTCGGCTTGAGACTTTTCGTGAGCATCCCTCCACATTTACTCTGTTCCATGGGTGATCCCATGATTTGTATGTTCATTTAATCATTTGGCTTTCATTTGTTGATTGCTTATTTTTGCAAATGTGCACACGTCC